CTTCATTTTCTCTCTTGGAAAATCCTCAACGACTTGATCGTGAACCCACTCGGGGACTTGAGTAAAGTACATCCAGACGCGAGACTCGCCCGAGCAGCGCGAAAGGATGATTTTCAAACGTCGATAAGTCATCGCCATAAATATCGCCGCGGTGGATCGAGGTCGACAAGTGGCCGTCGCGAAATTCTCATTAATCGGGCGAAGCGGGGCGACCAAAAAGGGACCGATAAATCACGAGTTCGTTAATCTAGCCGCGGAGTTTGCCAATATTTCACGAACGGTAATAGGTAAATCGGACCCTGCGCCGCGGAATTGGGAGATCGAGCGCGGCCGGCTAGGGAGCTGCGATCGATTAAATATCGGCCCTGTGTTGGTCCCGCGCGCTCCTGTGGATTACACAAGGGCGACCGAAAGAAGGTCAAGTGGGATCACGGAGGGAAATTCAAGGGACGATTAGGCGATGTCAGGACTGGATTATACGGACCGACAGCTTTCGGCTCGCGGCGGACTGAACGTCGCGACGATTGAAATCGTGTCGGTTTAACTTTGGACTAAATGCGCTTCCGACGTAAGCTCCGCAGAGAGAACGAGGTCTCCTCAACTCGGTCCCTTTGAACGTTGTATTATTCTTGGACGCGATGAGAGACGCGGGACAGAGGCAATATTTGCGCAGCGTAACATTGTTTACCACGGCGTAAAGAACTTCCGCAATGCGGTGATCTATGACTGCCGCGCCGCGTCCAACGTTTTATTTCGCGATGCCTTGACATAATGACGAGTATCGGTGAAAAAGAGGAATTTTACCTCGTGAAACCTGATCTACAATGCGCTCTTTGCTTCCTGCTTCACCTCTGTCCTCTTCTGGCTGAAGGTCAATTTAAAAGTCAGAAAATGACAAAGGGAAAGAAACTGGCGGCAAAGAGCATGTTGTAGATTTCAAGCTCAATACGGACATATTAGTAAACATTTAGTCACAGTTTAATTGTTTTTGCGAGAGTTCTCACTTCGGGAATATTGAGTTAAAAGTATCAATTTTCGAACGCGTATCTAATCCTAGATGTTCTTACTGCTTTGGCCTTTAAATATATGTACACGAAATATCGAAGCCTTAATCAATATAAAATATATGTATATATTCAATATAAGCACATGTACCCTTTATGTTGGTTTACATTTTTTTACTTGAAGATAAAAATAAAAATAGTACGAATAGAATGGACTAGATACGTGTCCGGACATTGTGTTTGTTGTCCGACAGTTCGATTTAAAATTCCCGATCACGTAGTGGCAGGAAACGTCCTTAAATCCGCGCTAAGAGCGTGTCTTAGCGTTGACGGGATGGCAGTCAGTCCTCATTGTGTTGCCAACGGCTTTAGGGGATGCAGTCAAACGTCGGTGCCAGGCCATTTAGGCTCATCTGCTTTAATTGGCTTCGTTTGTAATTACGGAACATGAGAGAGAGGGAGAAAGAGAGAGGTGGGAGACAGAGAAGCCTGTGATAGGGATGATATAACTAAAGACAATGAAGAAGGAGGCCGGAAGGAGAGGGTGGAATAACCCGAATAGCCCACGTTGACGGGTGCTGCGGCTTGAAGGGATCGGGCAAGTGAACTTCGAGCCGCTATTGTTAGCTTCCCCCTAGACGGGAAAGACCCGATACAAATTCTCGCTCGAGACAAAAGGGAACGTTTTTCTTTACTCGTGGACAGGTTACCACCCTGTTGCCGAGTTCCCGATAGCATTGCGTGCAAATAGTCGCGAGAGCTGTGCAAGAATTTGGTCGTGTTTGAATTTAACGAACAATTTCTCGTAGATGTAGACGATCCGAGCTTACTTTTTCCCCTCGATCCACGGGGACCAAAAGAAGCGATGTTAAAGTATGCAAATGAAATTTTGAAGTATACACAATTAAAAGGGAGGGTGAGAAACGGACCAGAAAGAGAAAGAGAGAGAGAGAGAGAGAGAGAGAGAGAGAGAGAGAGAGAGCAAAAGAGAAAAAGAAAAATACATCTTGTTCTTCTCGCAGTAAGCAAACTTGGCTAATACCGCGGGGATTCGCCCGCGTGAATTCTTCATTTCGTGAATCCAACCCTCCCCCGCCATGCCGCGGCGCTTTGTTTTCATAAATCTTACCTTTCTCGCGGATTCTCAGTTTACCGTGCGCCGTGGATCGCGAAGGCGATAATTCGCGAACTCGTAACCTGCCGCTCGCAACTTGTACTGCAACTCGCAACGGCGGTAACTCTCGTATTCACCGCCACGATGCTACAAATTGCGGGGAACACCACTCGTATGCGACCGCCGTATGAGTCTGTTGAATCGTTTGACCGAGGCGAGCGTGTTTTTCGGTGACCGCGCAAACATGCGAGGCGCACCCATGCGACCACTTCCTGAGCTGTGAAAGGGTGGACACGCCGCTTTGCCCGAGAAAGGGAGCCGAAAGAGACGCGTGGGAATGGCCTTCTTCGTGTCGAGTTACTTTCGTAGAGCGTAACGCTCTTAAACCGCTACCGGAGACAGTGCACTTTGCTCTTGAAACAACATCTCGCGAGTCCGTACACGGCGAGTCCTGTCTGTCGGCGACGAGTCGCGTTACGTCCCCTTAATAGACAGATGACACACTTATTTTTCAAAAAAAGGCCATGACGCTGACTATCATTGAGACCTGCGTTACTGCACACAGAAAAATACATAGTGCATTCAAGGAAATCTTACTTGTCTCGTCATAAGCATCAAATGTATGCAAAATATATTTTAAATCTTAGAAAGTTTAGCACTTCAGTCAAGAATATTAAATTAAAAATTCAATTTGCTTACTGCATAGAGTCGAATCAACATTTCCTTTGATGAAATTTTATAAGATTTTTGTAAACAGAATAAAACTTTTTTCGAATACATGGTAATTTAAAGTTATATATTATAATTCAAAGTTAGTGATGAGTATATTTGAGTTGTTATGAAGCAAATGTTCTTTGTTAAAGGTAACCAATATTTTAAAGAATGATATCTTTCTGTATGTAGTCGTTATTATTGTAATTTGTATCGAGTATGATACTCAGATTTGGATTTAAAGTTGAATTTGTCAAGTCACCATTACAAATGTAATGTTAGGTTTAATCATATGATTAAACCTTACGCGCGTGGAGTCTGAAGAGGACTTCAAGGATATTTTTTTGAAAAAAAATTGTTATTAATATAGTATAGATTGTAAATAAACACTTTGTTTAAATATTACCAAATATTTTTTGTCATATTTTCTCTGATTTAATAAGAACGAAATGGAATCGGTGGAGAATATACGTTGTAATTAATGTTGATAAAAGTAACATCGTAGCCTAAGGGTTAAATTAAAAAACTTTAATAGATCTACCTCTATTAACATTTATTACTTGAAACTCTCCTCAAATGAGATGTTCAGACTTGAATTTAGACTTACACAGAGAAAAAATATCTAAAAGGTAAAAAAATATTTATTCAGTGAATACTAATAATATATTTACTTAAATCTAAATTTTTTTATTTAAATAAAATAAACAATTGCTTTTGTGAAAAGATAGATTTTAAGAAAATGTATATTTTTTATTTGAAATATATTTTATATTAGTGCGAGCGAATATGATTTTAGTACCCACTGAATAAATAAGTATACTGGGTACATTAACAACAATTTTTTCAATAAACGTTATTTTATTTTTTAAATATTTATTTCTCTCAGTGTGGATGAGAGTTTTTTTCAGTTGAATCTCTCACAGATATGTTATAAATATAAATGTTCCATATATTGAAAATTTAACTGAAAAACTTGTATGTAACTGTAAAACCTGTATTAATTTAAACATGTATTAATAGTCAGACGTAAATTTTTTTATTGAATCGCAATTTAAGATATAACGTTACATATATCATGTAATTCAATTGAAAAACTTGGACCTAATTCTAAATAAAAAGTCGAGTATCTTACATGATACAAGTTGTCACGTGACAACTATTAATATGAGCTCAAATGAAAATCTGAGTATCTCATATAAGTTTTATGTCACAGCTATCAATACGGGTCTAAAATTTAATCTGAATGGCTCTTATGAGACAAGTTTCAAGTAATGACTATTAGTAAGGAGCTAAAAGACGACGAGTGTTCACTCAATGAACGAGTGTTATCTCAAAGAATTATTAAAGAAACGGCAACCGCTTTATCATTGGAAAATCGTTTGTCCCGTTTTCGCGAGAGTCTCGTTCCCGCCACCCTTGACCGCGCGCCATAATGAGACGGTCTTTAATGGTCGGTTTTACCAAGGTCGATTAACTTGGACCATAATTCACCTGATTCTTCGTCTCTTTCCACTCACGGAGATAAAGGGTCGCTCAAATTAAGCTCGTTAAAGTCCAAGTTAACCGACATTAGTCAAACCACAGCGACATCACTCAAGCCGCTGTGCGCTCCGAATTCTTTTCGAGAATTTTTGAGGATCTTTTGCCAACCGTGCGCGTCTCCGAGTAACTGTAACCATCTACCGAAATTTCATACTCGAGAAGCTGGCGAATCCCGCCACTGGGGTTCCCCCGACAGACAGAATCGCGAGCATCTTCGATCGCTAACCTTTTCAGACATTTCCGAAATTCAATCATCCTCTCCAACTATTCGCCAAGAGCGGCGTCGAGAGAACGGAAGTGCATCATTCCGCTGCCATTGGTTCCCCGACGAGGGTCGCCAGTTAGGGAACGCCGTCCTGCTCTTTCTCGGCGAGCTACAACACGTGACGCGAACACGTGGGAAGGAGAGACCGCTGGCAGAGAGACCTTTCTCTCTCCTCCCTCCCACCTGGCCCTGACACACCTCTCTTTCTCTCTGTTTGTCTCTCTCCTTCTCTCTTTCGCTCTTCCGTTTTCATCCTCTGGCAGCCAACAGGTAGAAAGAGAGACAGGTGGCTCGCCGATGTATTCATGATGCCGGCTGCGATACGACAATCCTGAACTCTGGTCAGTGTTTGCGATGACTACCTCGTGAATCGACGCGTCCGTTCGATAATTGTAAATTCGATGTCGCGGCTTCCTGTTTCGCCTCTGTGCAACCGATCGGAGCCGCCGGTTAACGCGAGAATTAACAACTGCGTCGTCGATTATCGACGATGTCTACTGATGAGTGCACAGCGCACTCAGGGCGAAATTTCGAATTTTTTCGCTCGTATGTGATTCGCGTGATACGCGCGCTTCAGTCGACGGCTTTCTGTTGGCGTGGAATTTAAACAAAATCGTCGAGTGCCGGCGATGAGGAAATAATAAAGTGCGTTGAGTCACAATTGATGCGCGTTTTAACGATGTGAGTGCTCGCCAGCGCGAAATCAAGTGATATTTGGTGTTTACGCATTGTGATCAGTCTGGTTCTATAGGAAATGTGTCAGCGAGAAATGGTTTTCTTCATTAAACGTGAAAGTAAATGCCGATCTGTAGGTGAGAGCATTCTCTTCGGTGAATAAGAGAAAATGCGAGGTCTATAATCAAATTCTCGTGAATATTCGTAGATCCTTGGTTGCACGGAATTTACAGATTTCCGATTCGCTTAATCACCAAAACGATTATAACTCGATCTTATCAAAAGAACACTATCATATGAAATCGGCTAGAACGCGGATTAAGTTTCTCAGTTTAATATCTTGATGTTTTAGTTTGCGAAATTCTGCAACGTACACTTGTAATGTCAATATCCGTGCTCTCGAAAGTTTCCCGCATTATTTCAGCGCCACAGCGGTAAAGGATATTCGATTTCAATGTTTCAGAGGTGAAGGTGGGAAGGGAGAGAGGGAGGAGTGGGAAAGAGAGGAAGAGAAATAGGTATCCATGAGGTCATTACATATTCCTATACAAGAACACTGTGGTCAATAATTCACGTTACATTTACCAAGTTTGGAGTAGATCTCGAGGAAAACATCGCGGCGCTCTCGCGATCTGTCGATTTCGGTTTCGCCTTTCGTCGGATAATGGATATCGATCGTGGTGTTCTACCAAATTCTGTTAGCCGGAAATATTTGCTCGATAATATTGGCAGGCGACTCGATGGAAATTGTCGTCCATGCTACTCTGACAAATGGCTATTGTCATTAATGATTATTCCCTCCGCAATTAAATATTTGTTGTCGTCGATAAGATTGTCATAGGTTCACCAATTCCATTTGCGCCATCTAGTTTCCAATCGGAACGTTAATAGGAAGCGATTTATTGAATATTCATTTTTATGTTTAAAACCAATGCACGGCTATTTCTTGAAATAAACGCGTGAGGAAAGGAGAGAGCATAGAAATATACAGTATGACCAATTCTCGAGTACATGGCTAATTCTGAACGTTCTTATTGTCTTTAAATACGAATATTTAAAATAATTCAATATAGAATGTATGTACATTACATGTAATACATTCAATACATGTAATACAGTACAATTCAATACATGTACATAGATTTTTTCATGTTGGATGTTTAAATATTCGTACACTGGGAGAAAAAATATATGTAGAAAACAGAATATTTTTTCTCGATGGATATTCCACAGTAATATATTTACTTGTACTAATATATATATTTTTACATTCAGGAAATATTTTTTTGAAATGAGCAAAGGTGCATTTTCCTAAAGTCATCGCTTTTCGCGAAAACAATTGTTCTGTTTAAGCCAAAGAATTTATATTTAAGTAAATATGTTATCACATAGCACTCATTAAATAAATATTGTTCATTTCTTAGACATCTTCTTCTCTCATGTATTTGAAAATCAAAACTATAAGAATGTCAGGATTAATGTCCTCACATTGGTACTTTAACGAAATATAAAATTGACACGAATTACGCTTATTAATGCACACCGTCGCACTTTGGTACGCACCTTCGGTACGTTTCGTTGCGCATGTCCGTTGGAGAGCGTGAAAATATCACGTTGGAGAGGACGTCTCATTTCCATTTCTTTTCATGACGTGTCGTATTCGCGATCCAGCTTGCTCACACGAGCTTGTCGTTGATTGAAGTACCGTCCGAGTGTCCTCCACGCCCTTGTCGCTCAATTTATACATGGCATAACGCCGCGACACGCCCCGGAAACTCGCGCTTCGTGAGAAAGGAAACGGCTCCTCTCTTATGCCCTTTTCTCTCTAGCCCTCTGCCCTCCGTCCCTCTCGGTATAAATTTGCCCCGCGGACGCGCGGCGATAAACTTAAGACGAATTCCTTTTCGGCCGCGCGGCACGATAGATAAATAGAAAGCAGAGCTACGTGATTCGAAGCTGTAAGTGCAACACGTATTCGCATCTTCTTCGCCCTCCGATCCGACCGCTTCGATCTCTCCGCGGATTTCTTTCACACGTTTCACGGTTATGTATTTCGCCTCGGTGGTGCCTGAAAGGTAATTCCTCGGCGGGATCGAATTCCCTGATCACTGACGGCGCGTGAACGCGCGACAACGTGACGCGGCGTCAGCGATCGAGGCATGTTTCGTGGGCGGACGAATGTATCGTAAAATCTCTTGGCTACGAAGGACATGATTAACTTATCTTACCTAGTTTCGAGACTAGATACGCGCGAGTTAGATACTCAAAGAGTTGAGACATTTCGATAGTCACCTCTTAGGGCTGATTTTAGGGCTGACTTCACCCGTTGAGCTACCCTATTGATGTGCTAAAATATCAGGGATATTGGTTATAGAAGCTCTTCCGATAATTAATATAACGTCCCTGAGTGTCGGTCGATTAAGGAGTTTATTCACCAGATGTGTATTTTCAGGACGCCCAAGGGGCGTATTTTCAGTGGCGTATCAAGGGAACTACTCCTAGTATCAGTATATTTTCCTTCGACTTACATAGCCAAGAATGGGACTTGATTTACAGTTCCTTAACCAGACACATTCATCCATTCCTTATTTCTATTCATCTAATATCTAATATAGTTACTAATATCTCTATAGTTACATTGCCTCTTTAATTGATTTTATAATGTCATCTTTATTACTTAAACACCTTTCTAATCTTCTTAATTTTCCCTAACTTTTATACTACCTATATCTTCTATCTATCATGTCTAATTATACACTTTCCAAATTTTATTTAACGAATACTATATTGTGCTCATACACAATATCTCAAACTCTGTCTTTCCTTTCAGTTGTACATACTTATTCTTTTATCTTATTTCTTCCTTTTCTCATATCCGATCTCTTTCCTCTTTACTGTTTCCTTTACTTCCTCTTTATCCTTTTGTCCCTAAATTTTCTTTCACACACACACGCACACATATCTTGTTAATTTTATTACTCCATTCTATATTTCCTATTAATCCCATGAAGTGATTTCTCTGCCCTTTTCTTCACTTTCTGTCTCCTTCAGTTTACATCGTCAAGGAGAGGAGTTTTTCATATCTTATAACTCTTCTCTTATTCTTTGCACTTCATTCTTCTTACTTGCACAGCATCTGTCCCACTAGTCCTTGCGTCATTCTTCTCTGTTATACTTTTATTTTACTTCCTTATCTCATCCGATGACCAAACCTTTTCTTTTTCTTATATTCTCTTCTTCCTTTATTTCTTATATACTTCTGTCTTCTATTATTATTACTACATTTTCTATCGATAATTTTCTCTATATTACCATACTAATTTAAGCTTGCTTACATTATCTACAATACCCTAACTATCCGTTCTTAAATCCTGCTTTTCTATCTAACATCTTGTTTCGCCTTCACTTACACACCATCTACACACAGTCATTCCTACATAATTTTCCCTATTTGGCCACTCCATATATTTAATAACTAAAATCATTCCAAATTCACGCTCCACGTTATCAAGCATCCGCATACCATCGAATCAAATCAAGGAAGCTACTCGTAAATTCACTATTTATCGGACAAAATTACGGTTTTATATACCTGTTTTATTATCTAAATAATAAATGTTAATTTGAAATTAATATCATGATGCTATTTACCATGTTTTACTCCATACACACACAATGCTGCTCACAATGCTGCGCAAGCATAAAACAGCAGTTTTCTATCCTATAATCATTACACAAAAACGATGTAGTAAATACCATTCCTTCTTCTATGCTGCGTTTTCTCATATGTAACTATATGTAATTTATAATGGTAATGTTCTTATTTGATATCATTTTTTACGAAGTTTTATTTATACTTAAATAATTATCGTCTATATTATTTTTATCAAGAGGTAACATGTGCAAAATTGCGATATTCAGTATTAAATTTCTTACGAATGACGCACGACAAATCGCACGAAACTTCAACTATTAGTGTGTTTTACTGCGATGCATATTACGTTAAATTGTGGTATAATTTGAAACATTTTGGTTTAAGTGAATAAACTTCTTGTTAAGCGTCGTTTACGAAATTTTAGTTCATCGGTTTTCGTCTAATAACTTCATTTATACGGGTACTTTGGCCGACTGCATCGTTACATTCGCACGGACGTCGACGTTGCTGAAACGCGCATCCAGCCGTGACATTTTATACGGCTTCCCCTACACATAAAAACGACAGCGATACATTCACCGTATCAGCATAGTCATTTACCGACGATCTGTCGCGATCCCACTTCCGTCATGTGGAAATTTCGCTATTCTGCAACGGCATAATCGTAAACCGCGATCTCGCAAATTCCGCGATATTCGACATCAACGTTGCTCGTTCGCACTAAACTAGTTCGTGCGCGAAAATATAAGTTTTCGCCCGACGAAAGATTTTTCCTAATTACATCAGCTTTGTATTGCTTGAAAATATTACGTAAAACAAGGAAAATGGAAAATTAAACGAGATAAAACTTCGTGAAACCATGGATTTATGAATAGGCGAATTACGATTCAGATTTCGCATAATATTTAAGCTGAAAAACCACAAAAAGAAATATGTACATATCCATAGAGATACTGAGATATAAAATACCCCTAGCAATTACATTCATGATTAAATAACTAGTAATTAAAAACGGTATTTTAAATATTAATTTAAAATAGTGAATTTGTAGATATTCCACACGATTTAAATCTTTGCTATAACAAACACTGTGTAACGTGTTCATCAACTACCTTATGAAAACAGCAACTACGACTGCAGCGTGAATTCGTCACTCGTTACACTAGAAACAATAAACCAAGAACGGATAGTGTATGTGTATGTATGTGTAGTGTATGTGTGTGCATACAAAATGCAAGGATAACGGCATTGCAAAACAACTGCGTCGCTCTCATTGCGATTCACAAACACTAAGAACGCAGCGGAATCCGTCGAAAGAAACGCGAGGGGAAAATGCTGATCGCCAGTGCGTCTAATAGCCAAACAATCGCTCCATCGTCATCCGTGAAATTACGGAGGTCCCGGCGATTGTCGTCCACCAGAGGATTAAGACAGCGAGCCATCGCGAATCCCCCGAAGGATCCTCTTGCTCGCCAAGACGTCAATCAGAAACTCGGTGCCACGAGCAAGAATGTCGACGAAAGCAACAGCGCGGACAGACTGCTGATAAACTGGGAGGTGAACGAAAGAATCAGCCTGAGCAGCGGCTCCAGCACAGGACTGGCGGTGCGTCCCGACACCAAGAGAGGCATCGAGTTTAGCGAGAATCGCCGGAGGACGGTTGAGAGCAGATCGAAAGTCGGCGAATGCTCGGAACCGAGTCGCGCAGCCAAGTTCTCGTCATCGTCGTCGGCCAAGCCGGCGTTGCAGCTGATGAACGTGTCCGGGTTTCCCACGAACATCGACCGAAAGCATCGCGGCTCCTGGTCGGCCGAGACCGACACGACGGACGAGAACGTGATCAAGAGCGACTCGAAGTATGAGATCGGCATACCCAGCCGCAGCTTCGCGACGAGGAAGCAACGGCAACAGGATACGCTCAGGAAGGTGGACGCCGACACGACGAGGAGATGGACGAAAAACAAGTCCGGCGACTCCATCTCGAAACGGCTGGAGTTGATTCACGAGCTCAATCAGAAGATCTTGGCCAACTACGAGAGGTTCCAACAGAGGTCGAGGCGCGCCAAAGACGCGAAGGAGCAGGCCGTCAAGAGCCGCGCCAAGGAAACCGGCCCCGAAGAACACGTCTACACGGAGATCAAGAGGAAGAACAAAACGACGTGTAGAACGAGCGATCGGAAGGGCCAGAAGATCCCTAGGCAGGATACTCTTCAACAGAATACCTCCAGGAGAGATTCTTCTAAGCAGGATATCTCCAGGCAGATTGATATCGGTAAATTTACCTTCTCGAGGGACCACCGCGAGAGGATCGGTGCCAAGAACGGCTCAGAGAAGAAGGAGTCGTTGAGAGTCACAAACAAACTTGATCGCAGAATTATTTGCGAGAATACGAATTTTAGCCTGGCGGTTAAGGACGATTTCCGCTATGAGACGAGCGACGAAAACACGAGGTTATCGACGTGTACGAAATCCAAGGAGAAGAAAGGCCGGCAGAAAGGAGAAGAAAGGACGGAGGGAAGCTCGATTTTCTACACGAAGGAGGACCCACCGGCGTCGATCGAGGTGAGATCAATCTCGTCTGAAAATTGTTTGGAGAACTCCAGATTGTATCCCGCGATCCGCTGCAATTCGAGCAACGATGAGCCAAGGAGGGAGGACGACGAGAGCAGCGCGAAGGAGAATGCAAAGGATTACGCCTCAGAGATTGATCGACTCGATCCGCGAGAAGATGCTGGATCACGCGCCACGCCGGCCGACGCCGTCGTCTCGGACGAGAAGATCCTGGAGTGCAGGATCCTCGAGAACCTGGACGAGACGATCGGCAAATTCGATAGCGAAAGGACGCAGCTGACATCGGGGGATAGCAATGAGGAGAAGGACAGCTTTAGTACGGATTCTATACAGAGTTGCAGCCCCTCGAGCACGAAAGGCTCCAAGGACGCTCACCTCTTGGATACCTTCAATTCCTCCTGGGACTCCGGGGTCGGGGTGGACGTCGGCAACGGAAGCGGGTGGGTGAGGATACACACGGGGATCGAGAGCAGTCTCGTATATCTTACCTTGGACACCACAGCTAAGGACGTCTGCAGAGACATGCTGCTGGGAGACGACTTGTCTCTGTTTGTCCAGGTAAACGTCGACCTCCGCGGCTGATTGTCCTTTCAGCTTCCGTGCCAACGGTGTCCGTGCGCGCAGCGTATTTCGCGATAAAACTACGGGGGAGAGGAGCGA